GGACCCCAAAGTATATACTATACTATAACTTGGACTTTTTGGGTTCGCTGGTTTGGGGTCGTGAGCCATAGGTGCGCAGCGGTGAGTTTAGGGTTGTAGGGATTGAGGCTGAAGGGAGGGGGGCTTTGGGATTACCGGTGAAGGGTTGAGATCTAGGGCTCAGTGGTTCAAAATCAGGTTCTGAAACAGAAGAGTTTAGGGTTAAAAGTTTAGGGTTTAGGGTTTAGGGTGCGTACTTCTTCCGCAGGGAGCAGCTACAACGAGGGTTCCTTGACAGGAAGCCGTTCCTGGAAGTCACTTGCCACGTGCATGATCACCACCAGGGCTGTGATGGTCGCGACAAACAGTCTCTAAACAATGTTCGTACAAATAGACTTTACTCGATACGACACATATATATATATATATACATGTATATATATATATATATGTATGTAGTAATGTATGTCTCTATATATACATTATACATATAGATACATATTCATGTATATAAGGAACTCAGTAGCAGTTGATTCTGATCAGTCTGCACATGCCGTTCGGTCACAATGTTCGGTCAAAATCGCATCGGACGCCACTGGGCGGAACGCTCTCCGTCATCACATATGTTAAAGCCGCCCCGTACCCCACCAAACTCGCATCATCCCTACGCGCTTTCCCCTAAACCCACACCGTCGCGTGCAAGTGCTACGGGCTTTAGGGCAATTCGAAACCGGTTCGGCCCGACAAGCCCAGCCAAACCTCTAAACCCAAAACCAACAAAAACACCACACCATCTTTACAAAACTGCTGTGATACCCGTGTAGAACCCTTATCCTCGTTGGAGATTTGGGATACATAAACCCAAGTACAACTGTATCAGAGCTCGAATCTACGTTGAACCTCACGTTCGACAGTTCTACTCGGTTCGAACTCTGAAACTCCAAGACTTCGAACTTAAGTCGAAGTTCAAGAATGTTGAGGGTTGGGGTTTAAGGGTTTAGGGTTTGGGGAGAATGTTGAGGGTTAGGGTTTAGGGCTCGGCAATCCCTAACCCAATTTGCAAAATTCTCAGCAACCTCTGAACCACCTAGCTACTATGCCTACATGTAGCTACCGTAAGCAACCCATGCTGAACGATGAGTTCCCATAACAGTACAACTGCTTTCGTTTACACTAAAGTAACATCTGTTAAACACAACAATAAATAGGGGACCCTAATATAGTACCCTAAATAGTAGGATCCTTACTCTACGGGCCCCAAAATAAGGTACCCCTATTTTTCGGAAGCTCCCACATGGAGAAACAAACACATGCAAATCAAAACCCAGACGAAGCCCGACACCCCCGAATCCTACACCGTAGAAGGTCCGGGGTTTAACTCGTAGTAGTGCAGGGGCCTTCATACTTAGAACAGGGTTTTGGGGTATATATTATACTCTAGGTCTAGTGAGGACCCCCTCCAAGAAAAAATGGGTATATTATACTGGAAACATAATAAGGAAGACGCCAACGTAACGTTGGTAATTATTAAAGCTCCGTAAACCCTGAACTCTAAACCCTAAACCCTAAACCCTGAACCCTAAACCGGCACGACCCCGGGTTGCCGGCACTGCGGCGCCATGCGTTGCAGCGAAGCGCCTACCCAGTCGGAGGGTTCTCCTGCTGTGCGAGTATTTGTTTTTTTAGGTTTAGGGTTTAGGGTTTAGGGTTTAGGGTTTAGGGTTTAGGGTTTAGGGCTTAGGGTCTAAAGTACGGTTGATGATATAAACTCTGCATTACCCATAATTAGGAATATACCATAATTCCCATAGTTTAGGGTCCTTAAGGTAACGCAGGACTTATACCATCAACAGTAGTAAACCTGGAAGAGTAGTTCTTAAGGTCCCTTTTAGGTCACCAAAATTAAATAGTACGGCACACGATAAGGACCCTGAAAGGGATCCCTAGAACACTATAGAAACCTACATAGTACCGTTATATTTGTAAAAACCCTAAACCCTGAAACCTTCTAGTTCCCTTTGGGGAGCCCGAATTGAAAGAACTACTCGAAAGGTTCGGCCATGGGGCCCCGGAACCGCCCCAACGAATTTCACAACCAAACTTCGGCATCGCTCTCTGCCTCAGTTTGCTATACGAATTCACGGTTTAGGGATTAGGATTTAGGGTTTAGGGTTTAGGGTCGAATATGATATGAGAAGCAACTCAAGATTCAGCCCTTCCTGGATTCGACTGAGCTCAAACTCCTGAGACGTTTCCCCAGCCACCGCAACCCGAAGAAGATTCCTGTATACATATGGTTTAGGGTTTAAGGTTTAGGGGTTTAGGGTTTAAGGTATAGGGGTTTAGGGTTTAGGGTTTAGGGTTTAAGGTTTAGGGGTTTAGGGTTTAGGTTTTCCCCATTGAGGCATGGCGTAGGGTTTAGGGTGGCTAAGCCTGATGTCCGGATCGGTACCCTAAACCCTAAACCCTAAACCCCTCGGTTGGAGAGTTTGGCGGCTGCATCCCCGGGGAGGGTCAACGAGTTGCAGTCAGTACCAGGTTGGATTCTGGCCTACCCATAGGCCCCATAGTAGTTCCTTTTTGGGATTACCTTATAGGATTCTAAATATGAACCCCAAAAAGGAAATAATGTGGGGCCTATGGTTAGTTCATGGTTGGGATAGTCTTACCCTAAGGGTCCAAGTACCCATTATTTAAGGACTTCGGGGCCTATTTTGGTACTTAAAACCATGAATAAGGACTACTTGGACCCTTAGGGTTACCCAACTATGACCCCTAAACCCTAAACCCTAAACCCTAAACCCTAAAAAGTGGTGGGGACTTACGAGGTTTCCGGGTAACTGCTCGGGTTGAGGCTTAGGGTGCAAGGATGTGGCTTGGAGTGTGGCTTCTTATTTGGCCTTTGCATCAATCCAAACGCAACAAACCCTTGCCCGTTGCTCCAACATGCTCTAGCTACCTGCCATTTTCGGGATATAAGTGACCATAACCTACTATTGCATAGGTGCTTGTTGGGCTTCAGGACCCTAAACCCTAAACCCTAAACCCTAAACCCTGACCCTGCGCCTACATTGGCCACAGTCAAGCATAGTGTCAGCAGACAGCAGGTCGGATACGGGTCTTTTGCCCAGAATACTTGGAGGTAAGTAAGGTTATAAGTCCCTTAGTTGGGGTTATAAGTAAATAACCCTACTTACTAAGTCCCACGATCCTTTAAGTAAGCTTCTATAAGGTCTGTAAGGTTTTGACAGAGCTTTATGGGATGTATTCGGGCCTGAGACAAGAAAAAGGTTTGGGGGATATTCGGTATACTAAGATGCTAAATTATGGAACCTGAGTGCGCAGTACCATACAACTTCCATGTCGGCTTTGCAGCAGCAGGTTTTTGTTCCGAATCCAACTAGACGCTCGGCTGGTATTACAGTAATGAAGTACGCCCCCCTTCTGCGACCTCTGAGTGGTTTGGGGCTACAGGTAATACAGGGGCCTTCATAGTTAGCATAGGGTTTTGGGGTACATTATACT